GAAAATATTAGATTTTTGAGAAACTATAAATTTGACAAAAAATTATTTTTTTTTTGAAAAAAAAAAAATGTTTTCTCCATTTTGATATATTGGGGAAATTCTTAACTTTTTTTCAAAGCAGGGAAACTGCTTTAACTACATAAAGACGAAATATCGAAGCACGTATGCGCCGCGTCGCCGTCCAACGCGTAAACATTGGTACGGAACCCATAGGAATGTAAACAAAATTTATACTTACTGTTAAAATCTCTAAAAAAAATATATGATAATTTGATGTGCATATGTCTAATGATCATTTTTGACCGCCATATGGCACTTTTTTTTACTTTTTTTACTCGATCTCCAAAACCGCTAGTTCTGCCTTTTTGAAAATTTGATCAGTTCAGTTCATCTTGTAAATGCAAGTAAAATGTTTTTTGAATTATTAAATTCGGTCGCTCCGTTCTCTTAAAAACTGAGTTACCGTTTTTAGCACTTTTTTCCCCATATCTTCAGAACGACTAGACTTGCCTTTGCCAAAAACTAATCAGCACGTCTCCTTGTTCATACGAATCGAATGTTTTTTGAATTATTCAAATCGCTTCATCCGTGTTCCCGAAATCGTCGACGAAAATTTGTATCCGCACACACACACACATACATCCATTGTTTCTAAGGTATGCCAAAATGTTCAAAAACCTCTGAAACGTGAAGATATATAAAAATTTATTTTTCGATTTTCTTGCGATTACTATAACTTACCCTACGGGAAGTTAATTAATGATTAACAAATTTAAAACTTACGGAAAGACAATTGTAAACCGAACTTACAAGAAAAAATTTAAACGCCAAATATAAATAAACTAAAAAAAATGTTTATAAAAAATGTATACAAATGTCAACAAAAATCAAATATAAGTATTTGAATGTATATAGTTTAAATGTACATTTTCTTATTATTTATGTATGCATTACATACTGTTAACTTCACTACAAGTCGAATTAGATCATTAATTCAGAAATAAACATAAATAGTGGTGTATGGCATCGTGAAAAAATTCTTGAAAAAAAATTTTAACTTCCCTTTAGGGTAAGTTATAGTAATAGTAAAAAAAATCATAAACGAAAATTTGTATATATCTTTACGTTTCAAAGGTTTCTGAATATTTTGGCATACCTTAGAAAAAATGGATGTATGTGCGGATATAATTTTTTTTGATAACTTTGGAAATTTTAGAACTCATTTAAATCGGTTGATCCATAGTGTCGAAAATAAAGAAAAAATTTTTTTAAACTATACATATGAGTGAACTCAAATTCCTGTGTATAAGTTTCGGAGTGCCAGTTAACGGACTTCCGTTTAACGATGACCAGATGTATCAGATTATATAAAACCAGTTCAAGACATTTTTAAGTTGCCGTTAAAATGAACAGAACTTTATCAGATCTCTCAAAAATTGACCGAAATCTTACAATATACGAATATACCTTTCTATTAATATTAAATTAATTATTAAAAACCTTAAGAAACTAGGTTCAAGAGACATTTTTTCTTAAGAAAAGTTGCAAAACGCTTATTCATATTTAGCGTGGAAAGTTTGAGACTGGAAATGCTAAGAAAACAAAATGCAAGAGCAAGTCGGATTTTCTGGCAAGAATATGAACTTTTCTTTGGGGCTGTTGAAAATATCAAGACACTTTTATTTTTAATCAATACTAAACAATATACAGTAGAACCTCGATTATCCGGAACTCAGTTATACGGATTTGCGATTATCCGGACTACTAACCGCGACAGAATTATATGTATGTACATACTTACAATTCGAATTTTTTCTCGATTTATGTTGCAGTTCAGTATATGTATGTAATGCAATCTAAAAAAATATATATGACATACATAAGGAATTGTTAATTTCTTATTAAACATTGATTTTCGTTGATATCTATGTATGTATTTAGTATTTATAATAAATACACATAATTATTCTTCATACTTTGGATTATCCGGATTTTCGATTATCCAGATGCCTATAGACAACAAGTAGTCCGGTTAATCGAGGTTCTACTGTACTACCATGTTGTATCGATAAAAATGCGGTTTCAATTCATCACTTATTATTTTCAATCATTTCCGTTGTGGTCAAAATCAAACAAACATCAAACATAAATCGATTCATCATCACCCCGATCCATTTCCTTTGGTGGTATTTAATTTTTAAATCCTGTATCTGTGTATCTAAATTCCCCGACAACGACTGCTCGAATCAGGCAACGTCGCCGCAGTAACAAACGGCCGCCGATTGTTTTGTTTCCCCGAAGAGAGCGCCAGACCGTGTCTGCGAATGCGCAAGCGTGGGCAAACAGACGGTAGGACGACGGTCAAAGCTAATACTGGGAAAACAGAGTAAACGGAGTAATGGGCCGATTTAAAATTAGTGAAGGATTTGTTCCTAGTAGACAAAATGTGAAAACTTATTAGATTAGATGACATTGTTTGTATATGTTTGAATGAAATATATATAAACAAAATCTAATTAAGCGGACTTATTGTTAGAATGAACATATCTTATATCAAATGCATCAATTTTTCGTTCGCGAAATGTATGCAGTGAGTTAACAATTTTATGGTTCATGTAGTATCAACTATACAAACATAAACAATATTTAAAAAAACGATTCGAACCCAATCAGTTTTGACTTTCTTATCTACTAACGCAAATTGCGGTGACGCGCCAACCAATTGTTATGCCATCTCTCGGATTCATCCCTTATTATAAAACAACATGTGGTAACACTAAAGGATTCGTAACACTGTGGTACCCCTTTGGCAACACTGTTTCCGCCACAGAGGAGCAAGGGCAGTTCATGGGCAGTCTCAATTCAACCATTATAGAAAACACTTGCATTTTATTGTAAATTCCGTCTGATTGTTCATAAATATATTCTATGTAATGTGTAAGTCTTTTATTTATTGTAACTACTAACGACATGCTCACGCATAACTCTATGAGCGGATGTCTAGGATCTAATGGGAATTTCTGCACTTTTTGATCAGTATCTTCGAAATGGTTGGACCTGCTTATACCAAAAACTAATCAGCATGTCTCCTTATCAATACGAATCGAATGTTTTTTCGAATTATTCGAATCGGTTGATCGGTGTTCCCGAAATCGCCGACGAAAATTTGTATCCGCGCACACACACAAATTCATAAACACAAACCTTTCCATGATAAAGCTTAAAGTTCCTTGAAATAATCCATTAAACTGGTATTAAAAATTATAAAATTTATTCAAGATGTACATTTCGGTGAAAATCATTTATTGGAAAGAGACAAATGTACTAGTTACTAGTTGTAAGTGGCATCTTGCCTTTTGTGTAAATAATCAAGTCAATAATATTTCAATATATTAATTAACTTCCCGTAGGGCAAGTTATAGTAATCGCAAAAAATCGAAAATAAATTTTTTTATATATCTTCACGTTTCAAAGGTTTCTGAACATTTTGGCATACCTTGGAAAAAATGGATGTATGTGTGTGTGTGTGCGCGGAAATAAATTTTCGTCGACGATTTCAGGAACACGGATGAAGCGATTTGAATAATTCAAAAATCATTCGATTCGTATTGATAATGAGACGTGCTGATTAGTTTTTGGCAAAGGCAGGTCTAGCCGTTCCGAAGATACGAGGCAAAAAGTGCCAAAAACGATAACTCAGTTTTTAAGAGAACGGAGCGTCCGATTTTAATAATTCAAAAAACATTTTAAGATGAAGAACTGATTAAATTTTTGGGAAGGCAGGTCCAGCGGTTATGGACTTTCAATAAAAATAAGTTTAAAAAATGCCATTTGGCGGTCCAAGATGCTTATTGGACATATGCACATCAAATTATCAGATATATTTATGGAGATCTTAATAATGTGTACACATTTTGTGTAGTTTTTTTAGTTCCGATTGTCTGAAAATAGCATATATTGCCTTAAAATATTCTAAATCGCCTCAAAATAGCCTAGATCACCTTAAAATAGTCTAAATCACCTTAAAATAGTCTCTGAAAATGTTCGAGATGGTCTGGAATCTGGAAATGCTCTGAATATACCGAAAATAGTCTAAATCATCTTAAAATATTCTAGATAGCCTAAAAAAAAGTTCTGAATGGTTTAAAAATGTTATGGATAATCTGAAAATGTTCTAGATAATGTAAAAATGTTTTACATACTCTCAAAATGTTTTAGATCGTCTGAAAATGTTGCAAATTATATGAAAACGTAAATTGGTTGGCAATTGTAAACCTAACTGAAACAAAATCTAACATTGGCATAGTTTTTGGAAAAACTAGGGAAAAAAGTAAAGTAGGTCGAAAATCTTAACAATTGATAATTGTTTATAAAATTAACAAGTCTCAAACAATACGACTAAAAAGCATATATTTTTAATATATTATTAAACTATAAAAAGCTTAGTAATTTTAATTTTAAATTAAAATGCAATTCGTCCGTTAATCAAGATAATTAATTACGGTATATTAAAAAAATATTACTAATAAAATTATACTAATGAGCAAAAATATTTATGTTATGAGTTTAGTTTAGAATACATGTGCATTTACTTTTTGTCCTAATTTAATTATACAGATATCCATTTCTTCTTTAGTGACCCATAAATTTTCCAAAATTTAATACAAGGCTCTTCGCATTACATTATTATTTGCTATTCTGATAGACAGGTGTATATTTTAAAAATTAGCACAAATCGACAATGTTTAATTTATTTATTCGCGAAACAAGGACAGATTTGTTATTCCTGAATAAATAATATATAGTCGGATCGTGGAGGAAAGTTACATAATAATTATAAATGTATATATATATATATATATATATATATAAAATTATATTTATAATATGTATTTTTCTCCGAAGTCGTTTCTTATATTTTATCTTAAATTATACTCATTTTCCTTCAATTCGCGTCTATATCTTTTATCTAAATATGATTTTTCCCCGCGTATAGAGTTGCTGACCCTCCGATCGACCAGCAATGGCACCAGCAACACCAACAATTCTCAACAGCAACAACAGCAACAACAACAACAGCAACAGCAACAACAAAATTGGCGAAGTTGCACCCCGTACGATATTCAATATAAGACGAATGAGAAAGTCAAGTCCACTAGCCCTGACACTAATGCAGGGATACGAACCGCGGACGTCTTGATTAAAGGTTTGAGAAAAATAGAAAAAATTTAAAAAAAAATAAAAATAAAAATATAAATTAATTATTAAAGTATTAAAGTATTCAATTGTTTTTATTAGAATTGTTTGAAACGGTTTGAAGTTTTAGATTCTTATGAAACAAGTACAGAATTCTGTAGCAATATTTGATGTTGATTTTAAAGTATACCGAGTTGCTGTAGAGGCTTTTGTTGTTAGCAAAAGTTGTTGCTTATTCAATTTGGAACAAATTTGCTTCATACCTCATTTAAATTAACCGAACGGTTTATGATTTATACACGATGCAAGATAAAAATGTAGCTCCAGCTTGCACATACAATTATCTTATTTCAATTGCTATTTTAAAGTATACCTAGTTACTGTAGGGCATTATGATGTGAGACAATATTATAGATTATTTAATTTTGCACAAATTTGCCAAATATTTCATCGATTTTCCATCAACTGTTCAAAAGTTACAACCAATTCAACAATCCTCTATCTCTTCCAATTTAACCATCACCCATACTCTCTTCTATACTTGTACAAGAGCAGTACCTATTTGTAATTCCTAGGGCCTTTTAATGTTAGACAATACTGTAGTTCATGTAATTTCGCACAAATTTGCCAAATATTCAATCGAATTTCCATCTAACCGATCTAACAATCCTTTATCTCTTCCAGGTTATCCATCAGCAATACCTCTAGTACCAGTATCAGTTTCTGCGAGCGCAGTTGCAGTTGGTGTTGATCAATCAGGTGTCCAAAATCCTCAACAGCAGCAACAAATGCTGTCCCAGCAGCCTCAACAAAGTCCAATGGCGGCTTTAATGTCAGTGGCTGATGCTTTGCCTCCAGGAAGTCCCAGAAGTTCTACAAGCAGTGGCGGACCTAGTCCTCCGGGGCCTCCTCAGGGCGTTCCGCCCCCCTGTGAGGTCTGCCAGTAGGGGATCGCAACATTCTCCAAACTCTTCAGGTAGGGGAAAAGATAGTAGATGGAAGAAAGCTTGTTCAAATTTATTTTGATCTTATTTATCAAACAGGATTTTATTCTATAAATATTACATTCGGAATTCCACAAGGTTCAATACTTAGACCCATTATCATTCCTTATTTTTATTCTTTACTAATCTTGTATCCTTTATCTAGGTTCTTCGAGTGGTCGCCGCTCCTCCGGCTCCCGCCACGTATCCTCCACAACAGTGACCTCCAGCGAAGGAGTGGCCTCCACAGGAAGCGCCAACCCAGCCCCTCCAGGAAGTCAAACAGCAGCAGCAACCCCAGGACTCCTCCGCCGGATCCATGGAGCAAAGAGGCGGAGGCACCCCTTTGGGCGCCCAACCGGGTACAGGTGTCCCTCCGCAGGGCGCCGGAGCACCCCCGCCGCCCGGCTCGGGAAATCCGACATTGAAATGCACGATTTGCCAGGAGCGATTGGAGGACACGCATTTTGTGCAGTGCCCGTCGATCGGACATCACAAATTCTGCTTCCCTTGCTCCAGGGATAGTATTAAGAGACAGGGCTCGGGATCGGAGGTAAGGAGGAGAAATGACACGCAATTTTTACAATAATTTTTTTTAGCAAAATCAACCCCGCGAGTCCATATACATAAAATAGTTCTTTTATACTTTTATATTAATTATTTCCTTTCCCAGGTCTATTGTCCAAGTGGAGAAAAGTGCCCCCTTGCCAACAGCACTGTTCCATGGGCCTTCATGCAGGGCGAAATTGCAACCATCCTCGGAGACGAAGTCAAAATAAAAAAGGAGCGCGAAACATAAACCTGTCAGGATATTCGGGAACTGCAGAGTTCCCGCTCGATATCCTCCTTTTATCAATCAATAACTGATGATGATGTGCCGAAACGTCGGCGAACTCGAAAGCCGTCGTGGCACAAAAAAGTATCACAAAAAGCACGTCGTAGGACGTGACAAGATAAACAAAACAACAGGGCAAGAGGCTCTTGTTCAATAATAAAAAACGACTCATGGTCAAGGTTATAACCGACAAAACAAGCTCACATACAATGAGTCTACTTAAAACTGCGATTTGTACATACAGTCATATTTAATTTTTTTTTTAGTTTAGACTAAGTTTTAACCGCGGGGGGCGTGAATAAAGTATTATTATATTTCTTTGTGTTTTTAGTATTTTCTAGTCTTTGCAAATTATTTGGAAAGGTAATAATATATTAAATATAATAAGGGCTGTGATTGATGATTAACTTTTTGGATCGACCAAGGTCTATTGATGACCATGTGTTCCAACAATTCTTCTCTTGAATGTTTTAAGTGTTAGTAGAGGGTAGGATATAAGTGTTGTGATTCAGATTTTAAAATTTTCGGTTCGATTTTGATGAAATCTTTAGGTGGATAATAAAAATTAAGCATTAAGGGATGTTTGGGTATTGTAAAAGATAATGGAATTTCTGTCCTCCTATCTTTCCATACTCGGACATGTCTTAATTCATAAAAGTAAATATAAAAACCAAAGAAATACAATAATCAAAAAGAAACCCTTACCTGCAACAGTGTTTTCCCAATTTTTATTTCAATTAAATCCTTTTGATGTCATAAATGCTGCTGCTGTCGTAGTATTGCAAAAAATCAAGATGTAGATCATCGCAAATATTAAATGTCATTAGAACCTGCAATAGAAATTAATATAAATAATATTAGTGAAATGGAGTATGCAAATTTTGAAGGATTTTAAAAAATATTATTTTGATAAAGGATTGTTTGTGCAAAACGTTTTGTAATAGTAAAGATTTTTATTAGTTTTCAATCCTGATTTGAATCAGTTTTGAGAGTCGGTAGGGACTCATTCCACTTCTGGCGCGTTAGACAGAGAGCTGAAAGCCAAATCGGGCGTAAGATATTAATACTTATGATAACCAATATATTTTTTAGATTCAGAATATGTTTTTATTCTTCGAATTATTTTGGAAATGCTATTACGCGATTCATCCCACTTCTGATTCGTTAGACAGAGAGCTTTTTGGTAACAAATGTATTTTTTATATCACAGAATATGTTTCATATTTGTTTTTATTTTTTGTATTACTTTAAAAATACCATTTTGCGACCCATTCCACTTCTGAAAAAAAAATTATTCTTTGAATTTTAAGCAAAAGAGTGAAATGAAGATGTATTTATTTTAAAAATA